ATTGGGGTTTCTAACCATACAAGACCAGGGAGTTGCAAGCTTGCTATCGGTGCCTATAAAGCCTAGTTATGTTCTGGGTGCTGGAGGTGGAATATACATGACTGCTGGGGTAAAAACAGAGTTTTCTTTTCTCTCATCATGTAATACATAGCACAGGACCAGTGAATGGAGCGGGAAGGCCATGAGCAGAGCAAAGTCCATTTATGAGCTGAGGAAAAGTGAAAAAGTTGTCATAAAACAAAAATAATGGCTGCTGCTTTACTTCCTTTTCCCTAACTCTTCACCTGGATTGGACGGGAATCACAATGTGAGGACAAAAAAGGGATGCTAATCAGGAATTTTGATCCTTCTAGACTCTCAGCTCCCTCCTCACTGCAGCTCACAGGCTTTTCTGGCATTCAGGACAGGGCCTTACCTTTGTGATTGAAGTCGTAGATGTACTCTGGACATGGCATGGCCACCACTTTTCCTGGCACACCTTCAGGCCAGCAGACAATCCCATCCCACTCAGGAAGACAAAAGCCATCTGTGGAAGAGACACAAATGCAAAAAGGAGTCACCTGATCTACAAAGGTAAAAACCTGACAGTTAATGCCTCTGCCCCACCGCTATGAGAGGGATCTCCATGAAAAAGCCAATGACTCCATTACTTAAATTAAGAGAACTGTTCTTGGGCATCATTGAAATTTGTATCTTAATGCATGGCTCGGAACAGCTCCGGTGCTTTTGGAGAAGGTGTAGCTTCTATCAAGTTTTATTTTGAAAAGATATTGTTGAACACAGCGTAACAGTTGAATGCCCTCTGACAGAAGCCAGTGTTTCTGGAAAGGTACTTTCACCTGTGGGAAGGAAGGAACAGAAAAGGAGCAGGAGCAAGAGCAGGAGGACCTGAACAGTGCAGGGCTCCAGACTTGGCAGGCAAGACTATGGACTATAGTGCAACTTCATCTTCATACCCAAGGAGGGCTTGACCGATAGAGCCTAGATGCTGCAACACGAGTTTAAGACTGGGTAAAATGAGGCAAACCATATAACCCTCAAATTTTTGTGTTCTTTCTAATCCTAAGTTCTACTTCTTTTCTGCTACAACTGTGATAGTTCCAGCTCTACTCTTCCCTTTGATGCCATCCTTTGCCAGATGTGAGCCATGTGTTGACTCAAAGCCAAGTCAACAAGCTAGTACAAGCTAGTCGCCTGGATCTACATTTTTCTCTGTCTGTTGTACCACTTTTCTTGGCCAACCATTGCCTCCTACTGCTTCCAAAACTGAGTGATTGGATGTGTTTTAAAGGATTTCCTTTAAATCATCCTTCCTCTCCCTTTTTCTTCATCCATTAAAGCTTAAATACCTCTGAATGAGAAATCCTGTGCTCCCTCACACCCACTCTGTGATGTGTCTTGTGCAAGGAAAAGCCAGAGAGAAAAACTAAGAAAAAATACCTTTCCCTCCTTTTTGCTTCTTCTCCCCTCCAAAATTTCTTTGAAAGTCAATGAATAGATAAATATGCATGTGAAGTTCTTCAATTTTCACTTTGCATTTCTTCAGAACTTGGAAAGCAATTAACCTTAGGTCTTGCTATCAGCTCTTAGCTATGCAAAGTTCCACCTCTTTCTTGCAAAAAAAGTGTTAGAAGGGCTCATGTCTCCTGCCCTATGCAAGCAGAGGGGCTAATAGCGATCTGGAACGAGTAGCCTTGTTTTCAAGACCACTTTAGAAAGAGGGAAGGTAAGCCCCATCCCCCACCTTGTATATCCTCCCAGCTTGTCAATAGACAAATTTTTGCAGTTTTTGATGTAGAAGCTCACAGCTGTTTGAAGAGAGCACAGTCGTGTTCATACTTGCATATTCAACACTGTGTTTCCCATTCTTGAAGAGTTCAGTGAGTGCCATCTACCTCATTTTAACTGTTTGCCTATATACACCTTCAAATTGGGTTGCACTAAGTGCATCCATCTTCAATACTGTGTTTGATTGAAAAACAAATACTACTGAAACTACCCCAACTCCATTTTCACATTTTTTTCCCCGCTGTGCTGATCACTTCCTGTCAGGGAGTTTATCAGCAGGGTCTGATGGAGAGAAATTGCATGGGAATCAAAACAAAATGGAACCACCTGCTCTTATCTGCAAGAGCTGCATCATTAAAACAGTGGTAAATACTGCCAAGATCTCAGGGTGTTTCATTAATATCAAAGCCAGTGATAGAGCACTCTTTCAAAGGAGTTGTCATTTATCCTTTATAATGCATATGCTTTCACAAGATTAAATAACACCCTAGGTCAGTGCTCAATTCAGTCTGCTGGAATTCTAAAACATTAAAAACAGCGGAAAAGCCCATCATTTATCAGCTGATTTCTTTAATTTCATGTTGATGAAAAGGACCAGGCTAATCTATTTTCTAACATGTCTTCTAAAGCATTAACTGGGAATGGGTGAAGAGAGGCTAAAAATCCCTGGCAGTGGTGCAATAGCGAGGAGGAAAAAGTTTATTGTGTGTTCCCTGTTTTGAGTCGCATCAGGGGAAAAATGGTAATAAAATCCCTATTCATGAAGGCAATGTAACTCCTGCACTTTGGCTCATTATCTTGCAGGATAACTTATACCCTGAAAAACAATTTATTTATTTGTTTATTTTTAGCTGTTTTGAAAGATGAAAAGAGAAAGAAGAGATGCTCCCACTAGACTTAGACTGGTACAAAAAATGTCATTGTCTCTGAGCATCTTTTGCAGAGAAGAAAATAAAGATTTAGTTAAGTGCCCTCTTCCTTAAAATAAAATCATTCATTTTTAATATATAAATAAATAAACTTAGGAGGAAAATGAAGGCTGCTTTGAAACAACACTGGGAAAATAAATCTTTGAAAGGCCATGCTCTGAAAATACTGAGATAAAAAACTTCCAGTTTTCTAAGATTTTCAGGATGGCTCTCAAAGTGTCTTCATTTTTAAGCAGTTTCATTCAACATAGTGGTGCATATTTTGTCCACAAAATCTTATTTTCAAACCATATCTCATGGTACTTCCTCCCCATGCTGTACACCCACACCCCTCACACCCCACACATTTTCCATGTATTCATTCAAAAGAAAATTGATGCAAATTGGATAACAGAGTAGGGAATTATTTCATTTTGGATACCTTAACTGAAAAAAAAATCCCAAAACAAACAAAACAAAGGAAACAAAGATCTGAAGACACTGAGAAGGGAACACACTGAAAACCAGAACTCCTGCATTTTCTCATGAGCAATCTGGGGAGCCAACAGCTGCCCTGGAAATCTGAGAAAGATCCTCTTTGCCACCTTTTGCTGCATCTAAAATCTTTGCTGTAAAATCTTGCAGTTTCCCAGTCTGTCCACTGATTGACTAAGGCCATATGAGGATCTGGGTGGGATTCAATCTCCAGAGAACATCAGAGCCTCCCCAGAGAAAGCAAAAGTGGATCTGTCACCATTACCATGAACCGTTGACTAGAGAATCTGTTCAACCTGATTTCCATGTCTTCTTCATCCCCTACTTTCCTCTCCTTGCTACATGCCCTGTAGAACTATTGTCCCATTTCAGACAGATTTGGGACAGTTTTTGGGACAGTTTTGAGTAGAAATCCCAGTCATCCTTTCTCTCCTGCAAATTTCATTGAGGTTTGTGGTACAGGGGGATATTGAAGAGCCATCGAGGGGCTTCCACTTGGCTGCCAGCCTTTGCAGACCAGGTGATGCGCTGGCACATGCAGAGCAGAAAATTGGGCACTGGAAGGCATTTTCTTGCCCAGCTAGGGCAGCCCAAGAGGAAATGCACCTGGAAAAGTGTTTTTAGGCTATGGGGAGGGAGCAGGGAGATGTGTGTGGAGGAAACGAGGTGCCCCTGGAGCTGCTGGTGGCAGAGCGGCTTGTGGAGCTCTTGCTCTGGCTGCAGCCCCAAGACACTTGGAAAACATTTTTCAAATGGAAATATTCACTGAAGCCAGGACCAGCCACACTCGCTGATGGCTGGAGCCACATTCCTCCTTTTTTTCTCGCAGCCAAAAGCTGTTCCTTCCTCTGCATCCCGCATGTTGTCACAGACACCAGCCCCACTCTTCTCCTACCTTTAGGATGCCCATTCTCCAGGCCTCAAAACCCTAGACCTTCTCCACATCTATTCCTTCCCATCTCACCCCACCATCCCCTCTAATCTGCACAGCCACGTGTCACCTCTATCATCACTTTCTTTAAACTAAGACCACAGATCTGACACTTGGGAAATAATTCTGCATCTTCTCCCTTCCACATTCTCCCAATTTACTCACTGTAGAAATGATTTAAAAGTAGAGTTGGTGAGAAAAAGAAAAGAAAAATTTAGGGGAGGAGGAAAAATACCATATATTTCATTGGTATTGTGTTGGAATCAAAACAAGACTTTTTGTTTTTTTGTTTTCCCAAATATCTCCTCCAAACTTTTTTTTTTTTTTCTTCCCTTGGTTTATAATAATATTAACAGTACTAACAACTTGGCTTCGCTCTGCTATTTTCCTTTCCTCCTGGACAGTTCTCAAAAGAGATCTGCACTCAGTTACAAGAAGAAATCTGAAAAATGGTGGAGAGTTTCAGGAAAACAATAAAAATATCCACAAGCTGACAGCTTTTCCTGATGGAGTTGCTTTAAAAAAACATAAGGAAAGAATCCTCTTTTACAGTCTTTTTTATAACTTGCCGTAAAAGAAAAAATCCACCACCTGCAAGCACCATGCTTCTGGCATGCTAAATATAAATAAGTCTCTCCTGGGACACTGTTAATGATATTTAATAAGCACAGAAAACCAGAAGGGGTCTATTTTAATGTAAATGCTGACTGAAAAGTTTTTGAACACTTTTTTTTTAGTGAAAAGCAGTTTGAAGGTTCAAATATGCTGCTTGGATTGATGCAGGTGGGCAGGTTTGGGATGTGAGGTGCTGTGTTCCAAGAGAGCTGGAAATGCTAAAAATTTCTTTCTTTGGAAGGAAACAGTAGAAATCACTGAAGATATAACACAAAAGGAATGCATAAACTTTAAGAAAACAAGGAAATCTCATACATATTCCGCATCCTAAGTGTATATTGGATTGCCCAGCAGGTATCAGTTATTTGGGCAACATTAAACTGTGAATATGAATATGGTCTGTGTCTCAAGGTAGAGTCCCTGAGTTCAGACCCGTAGCTGTGGACACGTAGAGATGGGGCTGGGAATTGCTGGGGCTTCTCATGTTGAGAGGATGTCCCTTAAGAAGAGTGTTGTGAAGTGACCAGGGCATAACCCAACTGGGGATCCTGGAGGAGACGAAGGAGTTTGGTTTGCTTTCCAAAAAGAACGAATGAGAAAGGTCTCTCTCATCCTACTGGTAAACATTATCAATGGAAATGAGCTAAAAAATGCAGGAGGTTGTAAAAATAAACTGTTGTAAACTCTGGTTTCTTGATGCATTTCCTAGAAGGCTGTTTCTTTTCTTCCCTTCCCAGCTCGCTCAAGGCCTCATGTTTGTAAACCCTGTTTCAACCAGGGTCTTCCTGG